TTTAAATTAACGAATTTTAGGAGAATAAAAATATGCGTCAATAAAATCATGTAAAATCTACCCCGCCCTCTGCCCCGAACATTTCTGGGGCGTCAAATAATTACATTATGGCCTCCCGGTGGGACTAAACGATCCACTTATAATACTGACTCTGAACAACGAATCACCGATGGGCCGTAAACGTGTTTGCTTAGTTCTGCCCAGTTTAAGTTAGTCATAGCTCTACATAATTTACAAATACTGAAATAGCCAAATATACTTGCACAAATGCTTGGTTGCTGGGGGTGGGGTACGGCTGGTTTTCACTGTCACGCATCAAAATTGAAACTCGTAATCTTTCAATAATTTAAGTCGAGAATCTGCGATATGATAGACGATTGATATGAAAACAACCTCACCATGATTTAGGTCTGTGCAGTTTCTCAATCGCGTGCGCGTCATTCGGAAAAGTGTTTCACTCAAATTTAGTGCCGCAATTTTGATGTCACGCAACGCATAAACTTGGAATTTCAAACGTGCTCTATAACAAAATGAGGAGCCCTGTCGACCTTAAATGTTGTAAAACGTCAAGTTATTGGAGAGACTAACATTTGATGAAACTAAAATTTCTGAAGGATTGGTAATCTTTTATATTGGAAAATGATGACGTCACATGAAAACCGGCAATTGATTGCGTGACTTGCACCGATTGAATCGCGAGGTCATTCATGCACATTTAGGGGTGTGCGTCATAAATAAATGCGGAACTTCTAAGAACTCGTGCGCTTAACGAATTCAGCTCAGCAAGCTTCAGCGTTTTCTCTTCAAGGTAAGAAGCTAAATATTTTACTTTCCAAAAGAACTGAGATCATTTTCGTTCAGGACGGCAAGTTTTCCAAATTATTGCGAGTTTCGTAGCGATAGAGTGGCAATGACTGATTGTACGTCAAAATTGATTTTCGGAGGTGCGCTTGGACGTATATCGTAGAGGAAATATCAGCATGTTTTCTCCTGTTTCGTTAAATGTCCTCTAGCAAGGTGTCATTTAAAGCATATATACGTCTCGCTTGACTTTCAAATACGCAGTTACGGTAATAGTTGTTGCTGTCTAATTAGCCGCGCATCCATACATAATACTCTTGCATTTTAGTTTGGACTCGATGGGCGGAAGTGAATGCCAGTTTCTCACAACAGAACCACTATAAACCCCGTTGCCGATGTTAAATAGAAGTTAAAAGGGCAAGAAATCTATTCAGTTGTATAAGTGTCTAACGTTCTCAACGAATTTTCGGAGAATAGAAATATGCGTTAGTTTGTCCTTTCGCTACATAATTTACAGATTTGTTCCTGGGGGTGGGGTATGGCTTGTTTTCACTGTCACGCCGTCAAAAACAAAACTCGTAACTGCTTAATAAATTAAGTCGGGAATCTGCGATATGATAGATAATTGATATAAAAAACAACCTCGCCAAAATTTAGGTCTGTGCGGTTTTTCAATCGCGCGCGCGTTATTAAGAAAATTTGTAGAGCGGACGAGCCGCAATTTTGATGTCAAACAACGGATAAACTTGGAATTTCAAACGTCCACCATAACAAAATGAGGAACCTTGTCGAGCTTAAATGTTGTAAAACGTCAAGGTATTAGAAGGTCTTACATCTGATGAACCTAAAACTAAAACTTTAAAAGGATTGGTAAGTTTTTTTCTTTATTTGGGAAAATGATGACGTCACATGAAAACCAGCAATGAGATCATTTGTCAATTAATACTCTTTCGTGACGACCTAAATTACTTCTGCCGGGGTGTAATAAGTTACTCAATTGGTAGGGCGAGGAGGAGAGGTACTAAACCCAACGGTTTTTCCACGACTGTCAACAACTGAAAACGATACCCTTTGAAGCTGCACATTTTTAGTCGATCACTAGCTTTTTTGGGAGCACCCAGAAGGTTCATAGTCATTGGTCAGTTCTCCTAGTGGAGAATTGGGCTATCGCCTCTCTGCTTTTAGGCTATCCTACTCTTGGTCAGTAGATCTTTAGTATCCGACGAAGGCTCGGCTCTTGTGTAAGAACACATTCAGCTTTAGGCAAACTTAGACAACCAAATTTCATATTTTTGTTTATTTCTCTACCTCACAGTGAATCTCTCACAAGTTAAAATGAAATTCAAGTTGTCCTTCGTTTTCTTATTCTTCTACCTGTTACATTGTTCTTCTGGGAATGTAACAGAAGAGCCAGACGAGTTTTGTGACGAGGGTCCCCCTGGAAGGTATTGTTTGCAAGATTTAACAGGCTGGCATGATTGTCACGTGGATCCGTCGACTGGCAAAGTGGTGGACAAGATTTACTCATGTCCTGCCAACACTCGGTAAGTCAGGGATAGTTATCGGCACCTAAAAAAAATCCCCACCACCAGTACTCTGAGCAAGTACAGGTTTTATAGGGCACCCGCTGGAGACTAAAGTCAAAGAGCCGACGCAAAAAATTCCTTACTGATGACGTATTTTTGTAGGCAGCTGGGTAGCGTCTCTCATTGGTTGTTTACTCTCATGCGAAAATTCGAATCCGAGCGACAATCAAATGATCAATGCAGAGTTACGCTCGGTAAGGGTCATAGGTATGTCGCACATCGTCGGATATTTCTTTCGCATGGAGAAAAATCAAGGGCAGGAGGACCTCAATGTATGTCATACAACACCCTTTCACGCTGTATTCTTCCTAGCAATGGCTGCTTTATCAGCCTTTAAGTCAGTTTAATCCTGATTACGACTTACTGTTTTTCCCTCCTGTACAGATGTGCTTGTTTTTACGGTCCCCCGTGCCCAGGCTCACTCGATGACCCCTGCCAGCCCTTCGAGCTGCCCCCTACTATCCCGACTGTATATACCCTGTACTATAACGGCAAGGTGACGAACTGCTCACCCATGGGATGCAATGACACTTACCTCTCAGGCAGAGAGGTTCTGAACCTAACCGAGCACAAGAAGAGAGATGATTCGTATGTCAAGTTCTGGTCATCTATTTTCGTTCTTCCTGGAAACGTGAGCGGTTTTCATCAGGTTAGTAACTTTTCTTACTTCTTTACAACTGTTGGAGGGTTGTCAGGGGCAGGTTTCAAGCCCGGTAGCGGGCGGATGGTACTCCCTTACTTGGGCTATTTACGTATGTACATGTACGCCCCAAAGGATATAGCGATTTTGGCCATTTTGGTTTCAAATAGGGTATGTCTTTTGCACTCAAGTCTTGAATTGGGTATATTTTTTTATGAGAAGCTACTTTTTCATCATTATCGATAAGACCATCAACAAAAGCTCTTATCCGTCTGAACTAGGTAACTAATTATAAGAGCGACCAGGAACCTGGAGGGGGGCGGGGGGAGCGGGGGACTGCACTTGAATTTAGGCACAATAACAGAATCAGTTTAGTGTAAGAGGTTTCGTCCTGAAAAGGTCTCGCAAATTAACATTGAATTTCATGGGTCATACAATCTCGTAGCTCAGGTTTTTCGCTTGAAGTTTGGGGGAATGGCAGAGAAGGTTGTGGCATAAAATTTCGACTAGCATACCTTGTTATTCTCGTGAAGACCAGACTACTCAGGTACATTAGTTTAAGTTTAATTTCCCAGCACTTAATTCTCAGCCGCAGGGATTTAGATACAGAATCACATAGAATCTAACTGAACATCTTTCGCAGAGCACAGTGCGCTGGGACCAGCAGGAATGCAAAACGGAGTTGATTAAGACGTTCCCAGCAACACAACTTCCTCAATACTTCAGCTACAACGGAACGGTCAGCATCGGCCATCGCCTCTGCGAGCAATGGATATGGAAGACTGGGGGTCACAATGCAGGACAACCAACCTCCCTTTCTTCCTACTACCTGTCTAACCAGACAAATGCGAAGCAAAAGCGATCTGCTGAGGTCAGCGGTGATGACGCAGATCCCGTTGTGCCAGTGATGATAGAGACCTTTGACAATTCCGGTCCCGTGGGTAAGACTTCACAGCATCTTGTTTTGAACATCACTTCCTTTCTGATTGGCGAAGTAGACGAGGAGCTGCTAGAGCTGCCAAGCTTTTGTTAGCGGAAAACATTTCAACGAATTGGAAAAATGTAGCCGGCTGATACCAACTGATCGAAAACAGTTGATACCAATAGACTTGTAAACCTTAGTATATAGGGAACAGTAATTAATGTCATTAATCGCTTCAACCAAAACGATGACGGCTTTAAAGTGCTTTATTCTAATAGTATTTGAACTTAGTTGTGTTGAGTTGTAACTAGTACTATACAGTACGATAAAGGGTTTATCTTCAACGAAACGTTCGTTGTCTCTTTTCTTATATATAATCAATCCTTTTTGTCACGCTGTTTTCAAAGATGATTGCATGCGATTATTTGCTGTCAGTTTTCACCGCTTGCTTCACGTGATCAGCAACTCTGTAATGTTCGAAAATATTCGAAGAATCTCCAGCCACATTGCTTTTTAACGAAGGCTCTTCTCTCCACCATGAATTCTTTGAAGTAGGTGAAAATTTTCTGTTTAACAGTCACGGCAATGGTGAATTCCTTTAGGGAGACGCTTGTGCCCTTAAGTTGAGCCATATAGATGTGAATTAACTTCAGAAATTTGCCCCCACCCCCTACAACACAGTGTAGTTTGACTGAAGCCGACATCTAATTCAAGCGGTTGATACTTTTTTGGTTTGCAAACGTCGCGTTACAACCCACATGTGATCAGTTTGGTCGGCTTACTCTGCCGAGGAAGTCTCTAGGTATCGGGTCAAGATGATCAAGACATACACCTATCTCCACCCCTCCGACCAACTCGACAAATTACCGTAACGAGCTAAAAATAGACAAATAAAGTGACCTACATCAATTGATTGCGTGACTTGACTGATTGAATCGTTAGGCCATTTATCTGATTTATGCTCATTATAGTTATAGGTGCAGTGTGTCATAAATACATGCAGAACTTTTAAGAACTCGTTCGCTTATTGAATTTAGTTCGGCGAGCTTCATCCTTTTCTTTTCAAGGTGAGTAGCTAAATATTTTACTTTCTACAAGAACTGAGACCGTTTCGTCCAAGGTGGGGGGGAGACACTCTAAGTTTTGGAATTTATTGCGAGTTTCGTCGAGATCAAGATACAGTATGATTCTTTCCGAGATACTCTTGGACTTATGTCGTGGAGGAAATGTCACCATGTTTTCTCCTGTTTCGTTACATTAGCAAGCTAAGGTGTCATTTAAAGCAAACTAGACGCTCTAAGAGCGTTTACTCGGACTTTGTACCACAATATCAGATCGTACTTTACAAGTAAGCTTATTGAACACAGTAACTTGACCAAATAAAAGTATCAGGATATTTTATCGCAAGAGTAACGCTTAGATATTTACCATACTTATCGTGTTCTCGCTCTTCGTAAACAACGTAATATACAGAAGGCTCTGTTTTGCGAAGAAAGTTTTGGAAAGAAGCGAAGAAGATGTCGACCGTTTTCGGAACGTGTTGGCTTACGAATTACATCGCTTGAAAGCCTGCCATATAAGCAAAGTTCATGGTCGTTGTCGCGAGATAACAAATGAGCCATGTACGAGTTCAAACTACGAAAATTAACACTGACAAAAAACTATGGCTACTGGCTTAAAAACAAACCATAACGCTGAGGCGAAAAACTCAGGTGCTGAAAAACTGAATCAAGAATCTTCGTAAGCAGAACTTCAAAGATGAGGTAAACAACATGCAATTGGATAAGGCCGGATAACGAAGATAGTCGACGAAGGAACTTGAATAGGAAATCGTATGGAGGCGAGAGCATTTCGTGATTTATGAGCACGAGTAATGTTTTGAAAGTTCTCAAAATTGCACGAGTCGTAGGCCAGTTCAATTTGAGAACTTTCAAAACATCACTCGTGCCGAAAAATCACTAATGTACGAGCAGGTTCATACGATTTTTTATTTATTATATTCTCAACAAAGTTACTCAAGTGCACTACTTTGCATGTGTTGCGTACTACATAAAACGCATCAATGGTTTCCAAAATGCTGTAGTCGAGGGTCTTGTAGGAGAATCTGAGCGCTTAGTAGTCGGTCATCAGTCAGTCAGTCAGTCAGTCAGTCAGTC